GGAGAGAGGTGCGGCACTTGGAAAGGTCACCGGCGCCCGGCGACATTTCGAGCCACGGCGACCCGGGTTCTGCCAGTTCAAGCTGACGCACACGTTCGTGGAATTTCGACGAGACCGCAGTGGTTGATGTGTACTAAACCATGGCTTGCTTTTGAAAGGACGCCCCGCTGTTGCGTAGCACAGAGGCACCAGGTGACAACCAGCTAGCCGCGCTTGCAACCAGCTGGTAAGCACGCGCGTCTCCGTGGTACCTTTCCCCCTTCATACAGAAGAATCACTCTAGTCCAAACACCTGTGGTTGAATAACATCATGGCGGCATGATGTCCAGCGGCCAACACTCGTAAGTGCAATGCTTTTTGGGAGGACTTGTGGAATGCTTGTCCGTAGTGCTGGCTACTACTCCGCACCGTCCCCGGCCGGCTGCGTCCAGACACGGCCAGCGGAGGCGGCGCAGGGATGCACTGACTGCTGCCTAGCAACGTGCGTGCGAGCCAATATTGCGCGGCCGACGTGCGGCGGGGATGGAACATCCCAGAATGACCCAACGCCGCCAGACAAAGGACCTCCGTTAACAGGAACATAGCCAGACTGAAATTCTCGACGGACAAATATAAGGCTCGAAACAGAAGTCCCTTTGTCTTTCCGTCGTCAAAGGCGTCTTTCCCTTTGCGGAAAAGACGCCTTTGTTTAATGGTTGCACGGTACCAAGCCGCGGTTTGTTTCAGTCTTGGAAACCGCAATTATCTGTGACAATTGTAGTTATGAATGCACAATGAAAAACACTTCATTTTGATAGCTACTGGTTAAAATAAAATGAGATGCTCTGATGATGTATTGTTCTCAATGATGTCACTATGGTCTGTTGAACATTAATTGTGTATTGTTTCTTCAACGCCTTTGCTTCATCTACAAACCATGAAGCACCAGCTGTATGTTTATGACCTGCAAACTTCTGTGACAACCGCATCACATTGTCGTGCAACTATATGGAAATATTTGATTACTCTTGCCAATCAAGTAAGTACAAATTAAATTTGCACTAAATTCAAACACGCTTCAATCCGTTGTGCCGTTTATTTTCACGGTATGCTTCTCACAGCCTCCCTTTTTTATATGTTGTATCACGCTTTTTGTTACCTTGTAGCATCACGAAACTTGGCGCCTTCCTCAACAGGTGTCAACACCGTACGGAGTGTATCGATGACAAAGCTAAGTGTCTAACTCAAATGAGGGTAACTGTAACGTAACGGGGGCCACTAAACAAAAGACTAAAAATGTCTACAAATCGCAAACGGGTGGCACATTGGTTTCTAATCATAGCAGCCGGAGGCGTGCTCAGGATTTCGCCCAGTCCAGCCAGCCCTGTTATTTGAATGGGCCCCAACGGCGGCCCGGCAGCAGGAAGTACTCAGGCCTTCCACCAACGAGGCCTCATGACTTCCAGCGGAACAGAAAAGCTAGGCCCCTTCCCAAGGCCCAAGAAGTGATGCGTCTCTGATGATAACACCGTTCAGACCATCCACCGACGCATGTAAATGAGCTGCTCAATGGTGCCGTAACTGTGACTCTCCCACGCCTTCTGCTGCAGGCATAACAAACAGTGCGTCTGTTAAGGTGGGTGCCAGCCCTGCCAGCCGGCGGTCGCTGGGGGCGTGATTGAATGATATCTTAAGAAGGCAGCGAACAAGACTCGGCTTTCTGTAAGTGCGAGTGCCAGTCCGGCAACAGCCGTGCCATGGCCAAATTCCCGTCCACTTCTGTTCAATCTGCAAAACTACTGAGGCGCGCCGCCGAGTGGCGGTGTGCTTTCCCTGCATTTGCCCTGTTTAGTTCCAGTGAAATAACGGCTTTCTGTTGCAATTTCTCCCTGCATTTAACTAAAAAACACTTCAAACCCTTCCTGCGTGCAACTTTTCCCGCATTTAACTAAAAACCTCTTCAAACTCTTCTTGCGTGCAACTTTTCCTCGCATTTAACTAAAAACCTCTTCAAACTCTTCTTGCGTAAAAGATGTTGACGATTCTGGCGTATTTCCGGGTCTCTGATGGCTTTTTCAATACAGTCGAGTGAGGACGCTTCGGATTATAGAAACGAGCATGAAACCAGACGGTACGAGTCCATGGGGTGAGGGTGAGCGGGTGAAGTCCTCTCCTTCTGATACGCCACGAGTTAACAGTACTTATCACATGTACACATGCGAGAGGGGCGGGGAGGGGGAGGGGGGGGGGGGAGGCGGTGCCGCGCCAGCAGGTGACGCCGACACGTGCCCAGGTAGCGCTCTGATAACGAGAAGGCCGGCTGCCGATCCAAGCCCAGACATCAACTAGCAAGCCAGCTTCCTCTTCTTACTGCAGTTTCATTGTACTCAAAGCCTCTAATGAAGTAATAAAAGACGACGCGAGCGAAACATCAGGTAGCTGTCCTGTATGCCGAAGCTGGGACGTCCCCACCAGCGCACAACAGCCAACATCGGCGGGTGCAGGAATAATTATCACAGGCGCTGAAGTTCGCTGAGAACGGCATCCGTATTCACTAGACGCTGGAGCTCGCAGTCATTCCCCATACTCGCTGCCAGTCTACCGGCAACGCAAAGCGCACAACATAGTGAAACCACACAGGTGGCAACGGCGGGACGGTGAGCTGTGATGCAGGGCGATGCACCAGCTGACCAAAAGTGAGGTATTGAATCGCAGGAGTGCGCAGTTCAGGCGGGCAGCCCACCCGTCGCTGGCCGGGCTCGGTGACGTGCCGCGCCACGTCCACCCGCCGGCGGCCGGTCCACCCCGCACAGGTGCGGCCAAAGAACACAGCGCCGCGGCCACGGCCACAGCTGGCCGCCACCAACTCCGCAGTTGCGGGCTGGCCGAAACGCCGGTCGAGCGTGCGATCCCCGTCCGCTGCCAGCGCACCGCATCAGCAGCGAGGGCTCTGCCGGGCCTACGGGAGCCCTGCCCAGCCAGGGCGGATCCAGAGCGCCATCTTCGGCCGGCGTAGAAAGCCAAAAATGCCTCGATTTTCAAAATGCTCGTCAGATTATGTCTCCGTTTGCCTCGATAAGCGTTTATTAAAACTCTTAGTAGAAGTTGTCAAAATTGTCTTCACATTTAGGAAATGTAACGTTTTCGCCCGACCTTGGCCATCTGGGAGGGCACGGCCCGGTCGCGCTGGACGAGTCCCTGGTGAGCCCCATCTTGCACCAATCTCGATCCCGGTCTCAGCTCGTTCAAAGCTTGGCCGAAGTAATAAAGAGAACGTACCACTAACAGGGTAAACATGGGGTTCTCAGGAAAATTAGTACTCAGTATCAGCCTCCTCCCGCATAATTTAAAAAGCTCCGCTTATGGCCACACCTATTGTTTTAACAGCACAAAGCAGCGAAGGCCGTCAGGTGGATGGTACCTCCAGACACGCGTCTGTCGGCCGCCCCCCCCCCCCCCCCCCCCGCTCCGATCCAGTGCAGGACAGCCGCGCTCCCGCGAAACGAACAGGGCCGCCGTCCGGCCGACCGGCCGGAGCCTGCGTGACGTCACCGTCGTCTGGGATAAATAAACGGCGGCGCGCCGCTGCGCCGCCGTGGGCGCGCGGCGCTATCGGGCGGCGCTGGCCGGCGGCGGGCCCGGCCGCCCCGTCACCCGCCCGGCCGCCCGCCACCGCCGCCAATAACGGAATTCCTGCACACTCGGACGTGGCGACGGACGCCGGGCGCCGACTGGTGGCCGCCGCGACCCGGTCGAGAGTGGACAGGAGGTCCCGGTGACCGGCGACCAATCCCCTACCCTCTTTGGATCAGCCTGCGGCCGCGTCAAAGCCCTGCGGGCGCCTCACCTCACGCGGTCCGTTATTGGCGAGTGCTTCGGCCCGGGCCCCGGCTGCAGGTCTCGGCTGCGGCCGGCTGCTACGTCTACGGCGACGGACACTGGAGCACGGCGATCACCCACCACTCCACCGCCATGCCCGGCCAGCCTCGCGAGCCACACTCCGCCACTCGCACGCTCCTGCTGCTGCGGCGCCGCCGCGGAGCCGCCACCCCTCGAGGAGTACCGCTGTCACACAGACGGTACTCCACTCGCCCGGCCTGTTTGGATTTGTGACGTCACCGCCAGCGATTCGTTGAAGGTCGTTCGCCAGATCATCGATTCATCACGCGCGCTTAGCGCCACCTTTGAAACAAAACTGAAGCTGAGCTTCGGAGTACCGTGCAAAGGTGTCCGAGCATCGCGTGCATCGACGCCCTTTCATATAAACGTAACGAATGAGGAATGGCACCACCAATTACAGTGAGCGCATGGGACACTTTACGCTGCGCTTCGATGTACTGTTGGCAGCGCAGACCTATGGTAAGCCAGGGGCTCTGGTCGTTGCAAAATCACGCCTGACCGGCAGGGCCGAGTCCCGGACGGCAATCACGAAATGATGAAGCCCACAGGGGCGGGAAGGGGGGGGGGGGGAGGAGCGAACAATCACATCCACCCTCCACTCTCTCCACTTCCTCATCCTGAGCCCTCTCTACGTCACGCCTCCGCGGGCGGGCTGCGACAGTCAGCTGCCAACAGGCCGAAGTGCCACCGAGGGCCGAAGCCCCAGCCAAATTTCGAACAGTCTGGGTAGTTCGACAAGTCTGGGTGTCGATCGGCCTGCGATGTGCGTGCCAGTCGGCACTCACTCGCTTTCCGTCTGACCCAGGCACGGCGTGTCATCCGGCACTCACTCGCTTTCCGTCTGACCCAGGCACGGCGTGTCATCCGGCACTCACTCGCTTTCCGTCTGACCCAGGCACGGGAGCCATTGCCGGGACCCAATCAGTGCTTCTCCACTCGCTTCCGTTCGAGGGCTAACTCAGCCGGAGGAAGCCGGCGACTGTCAGGTCCGTCGCGATGGCCGGCGGCCTGTGCAAGGGTTCCCTCTACAGGGCGCGTCTCATCCCGCAAACGAACTCCAACAACCTCGACCCTACGGTTTGGCGTCTGCCACCGGAGTACTGCTCTAAAAAACGCACTGCCAAAATTTCAGCCACATATATTTGCACCTGCCGGCAGGACCGGGCAAACCCTCAGTCAAACAGGGCCAGGCAATGACGTTACTCGAGCCAGTTTGAACAGCAGACCTGCGCCAAGCGACACGACACAATCTACCGGCGATGACAGTCATCACTCCGGAAGAACCGCCTCCACAATTCAGCATCGGCAGAACCCGTCACGTGACCTTCACGCGCCGGCGCTGGCGACTGACCGGGCGCAGCCGGGTGGCTGCTGCTCGGTTCCACCACACCAGCGCGATGTGGCGTATGTCATGCCTCAAATGACTCAATGTGGCACACGACATGACTCGCGCGAACCGATTCAGTCACAACTCAGCCTTCGAGGGCCTGCTATCGCAGCAACGGCCTGAGCATCCGGCCTGAAGGGAGCGGCCGACGCCGTGTCGCGCCCAACGCTAGCGTGACGACCGCACGCTCTCAAACGACCGGCCGGGCGCCTGCGGCATGGCCCGACCGGGTCGGGTCGGGTCGGGTCAGGTCAGGTCAGGCCAGGTCAGATCAGGTCCGGTCAGCAGGAGCCCCAGGTCAGCCGCGCCACGTGGTCTGTCTTCTTCTGCGTCGATCGGATGAAGCCCAGATACTGCAGCTCGGCCACGGCGTGTGCGAAACGCGCTCTGAAAACGGCTCGTCAAGGAAAAACGCCGACGATGGACAGAGCGTCAGCGCAAGCGTCATCACCAGCGCCACACCGGTGACGACCCAGCATCGTCACTATCGTCATTGTCAGCAGCCCCGGTGCGCCGCGACGGGAGGCGCGTTATCCGGCGCTCGCCGCCCGGGCCGTGTTGACACAAGCAGCGTGATCTGCGGCACGCCTCGTACGAGCACACAGCGCCGGCGATAGCCTGTATTTGCCGGCCGCCGGGGTGGCACTCGAGATGCTCCGGCGGTCGGATCCACAGTCGATAGTGGCGGCGACGGCTGCGGCCCCACTATCGGTGCCGGCGGCACCGCGGCGTCCTCCCCCGCCCCCAGCGGCGACGCCCCCGAAAGGATACTGCAGCGCCTCGTCCTCCTCGGCCGCCACCACGGCGCGGAAGGCCTGCATCCAGTCGAACAGGTTGATCAGCCGGCCGCACTCGAGGTGCAGCTTGTAGACCACGCAGAGGTCGGGCATGCTGGCCAGCACCGAGCCCGGGTCACTCAGCTGCAGCGGCAGCAGGTCGGGTCAGCCCCAACACGGCCGCGGCGACCTCGCGGCCAGCCGGCGTGAACACTGCTGCGGCGGTACTATTTGAGGCCGGTACATTCGTTCGCTGAGTTGAATTACCTGTTACGCGTCTGAATACTTTCTGCACGAGTTACTGGAAACTCCGCCCATTTCACGTGCACTCGTATATACCAGTAGCCAATCACAGTCGTGCAGAAGTGGAGCGGTCCTCCCGCTTGGCTGACCTTACAACAGGAGCACTGGAGGTACTTGGCCGGGTCGGCCAGCGCCGTCTGCACGGACGTGCGGGGGACGCCGACCAGCTGTCTGCGCACTGCCGACACGGTGTCGAACATCACCGCCTCCTGATAGAGAGCGCGCGTGTCACGGGTCAGGCCAGCCGACACGGTATCGAACATCACCGCCTCCTGACAGACAGTGCGTGGGTCACGGGTCAGGCCAGCCGACACGGTGTCGAACATCACCGTCTCCTGACAGAGAGCGCGCGGGTCACGGGTCAGGCCAGCCGACACGGTGTCGAACATCACCGCCTCCTGATAGAGAGCGCGCGGGTCACGGGTCAAGCCAGCCGACACGGTGTCGAACATCACCGCCTCCTGATAGAGAGCGCGCGGGTCACGGGTCAGATCAGCCGACACGGTGTCGAACATCACCGCCTCCTGACAGACAGTGCGTAGGTCACGGGTCAGGCCAGCCGACACGGTGTCGAACATCACCGCCTCCTGATAGAGAGCGCGCGGGTCACGGGTCAGATCAGCCGACACGGTGTCGAACATCACCGCCTCCTGACAGACAGTGCGTAGGTCACGGGTCAGGCCAGCCGACACGGTGTCGAACATCACCGCCTCCCGATAGAGAGCGCGCGGGTCACGGGTCAGATCAGCCGACACGGTGTCGAACATCACCGCCTCCTGACAGACAGTGCGTAGGTCACGGGTCAGGCCAGCCGACACGGTGTCGAACATCACCGCCTCCTGACAGACAGTGCGTAGGTCACGGGTCAGGCCAGCCGACACGGTGTCGAACATCACCGCCTCCTGATAGAGAGCGCGCGGGTCACGGGTCAGATCAGCCGACACGGTGTCGAACATCACCGCCTCCTGACAGACAGTGCGTAGGTCACGGGTCAGGCCAGCCGACACGGTGTCGAACATCACCGCCTCCTGATAGAGAGCGCGCGGGTCACGGGTCAGATCAGCCGACACGGTGTCGAACATCACCGTCTCCTGACAGAGAGCGCGCGGGTCACGGGTCAGGCCAGCCGACACGGTGTCGAACATCACCGCCTCCTGATAGAGAGCGCGCGGGTCACGGGTCAGATCAGCCGACACGGTGTCGAACATCACCGTCTCCTGACAGACAGTGCGTAGGTCACGGGTCAGGCCAGCCGACACGGTGTCGAACATCACCGCCTCCTGATAGAGAGTGCGCGGGTCACGGGTCAGATCAGCCGACACGGTGTCGAACATCACCGCCTCCTGACAGACAGTGCGTAGGTCACGGGTCAGGCCAGCCGACACGGTGTCGAACATCACCGCCTCCTGACAGACAGTGCGTAGGTCACGGGTCAGGCCAGCCGACACGGTGTCGAACATCACCGCCTCCTGATAGAGAGCGCGCGGGTCACGGGTCAGATCAGCCGACACGGTGTCGAACATCACCGCCTCCTGACAGACAGTGCGTAGGTCACGGGTCAGGCCAGCCGACACGGTGTCGAACATCACCGCCTCCTGATAGAGAGCGCGCGGGTCACGGGTCAGATCAGCCGACACGGTGTCGAACATCACCGCCTCCTGACAGACAGTGCGTAGGTCACGGGTCAGGCCAGCCGACACGGTGTCGAACATCACCGCCTCCTGACAGACAGTGCGTAGGTCACGGGTCAGGCCAGCGCACCGCCCCGGCCCCACAGGCGACACGCGAGCGCCCGCCGGCGACCACAGAGGTCGGACATGAACGTCTGCGCAGGGCGGATCAGAGAAGATCAGGGAGGCGGGGAGGCTCATGGATGCAGGGAGGATCAGGGAAGCGGGGGGCTGAGAGGCGGTGAGGATCAAGGAGGCGGGGAGGCTCAGGGAGGCAGGGAGGATCAGGGAGGCGGGGAGCTGAGAGGCGGTGAGGATCAAGGAGGCGGGGAGGATCACGGAGGCGGGAAGATCAGATGCGACAGTGGGCAGTGGGCACAAAGGTCACCTACAAACACCTGTTGGGGCGGAAGAAATTAACAAAAACATCTGGAGGGCACCCAGGGGCCAAACACGTGCAGAGCTCTGACCGAATACCGACCGGAGGTCACAATGAAAAACATACAAGACAAGATCATGGGAGAACAGCGGTCGAACACAATTATCTGTCAGCAGAGGAACCCAGTTGACTGAACCCACCCACAACCCACTTTAGGGCCACAGAAATCAAGGAAGAGCTAGCAGGGAACAACACGGTTGAACACGAACAGCCGGCGGAGAGCTGTCCGAGGACGGAGCCGAACCTGGCCGCTCACGGATACCAGACCCGGAAAGACGGGCCAGATAGCATTACGGCGAGACGACGCGTGATGACGTCTTGACTTTAGAGCGGTGGTATGATTGCAACATAGAGTGCTAAGAATCAAGTGGCATTAATGCAAACATTCGTGCCAAAAAAGTTTCAGCACGTGAAAAAGACACATTGCGTTTAGACCGACTGCGCCCTTCGATCCCATACATGTGTGGGAAGCGTCACTGCAAATGCCATTTCCAGTCAATCCTTATTATAAGAAGAATAAAGGACAAGAAGACGACTGACGTCTGGGTGGCCAGGGGGGGGGGGGGGGAGGGCAACCAACAGCCACTCTTTTTGGTGCCCTTTATGATTGCAGCCCGAGCCCGAACTAAGGCAATATACTCATATGCAAAAACTCTGCTCACCCGCTTCGAGACGTTCGTTTGCAGTATCCAGGCTTCCGCATCGTCACCGATGACGAAACGGTGAGAACATTATCGTTAAGCAACGCCAGGCGCTTACGGTGTTTATGCAATTAAGTGAAGAAGCCGCAGATACGCTTACGAAAAATGACGTCTCCACCAAAGACCGGTGGTAATCGTTCCCATACAGCGGAGAGCCCTTACACCAGTAAGACGTCTTATGTAGCGTGGGATGGGCGAATCCGCCAGACATGGGAGTTGCCATCACACAGACGACGCCAATAAAACGGTGACTTGCCAAGCAGCCTTCCCAAACTATACCAATGGGTTTGATCGCAGTCCGAAAAGTCCGTCTATGGCAAGAATTTTGGAGACGGAGGTTAAATGACGCAGCATTGGTGTGCCGGTTCACCAGTTATGAGTTGGTGCACCCACGCTGCATCAGTCTGTACTTGTCAGTGCACAGTAAATACAACTGCATATAACGCAATATACAATACAACTGCAATTGTAATTGACTTGCAGAGTCTGCGTTTCCCTATTTGTCTCGGTATAGGCCACGGCTCACTGCATTCGAGATTATTTCGAAGCAGCTGACAATGGCTGTTTTCCGGCCGTTGCATACAGTATACGTATATAGGGTGTACGTGTATAGGGTACATGAGGGCATATTCGCTACCAACGCGCAGTTGATCTCACACCTTCAACTGCTCTGGTTATTGAGATCTGACATGAATCCTTCAAAACGTTCCGAAACGGGCAGATCCTTGCTTTGAAAGGGCAACGCGTGCCCGCCTGCACGCATCAACACGCACGCTTGTCGCTGTGATTGCAAGTTCCCTCGTGTGCAGGCATCTGTTCGTCTCGTGTCACCGAGGCGTCGGATTATGGGGATCTGGCCCGGTCTCCACGCGTTCTTCAGCCTTTTCACCGTGATACAATTCAACGCTTCACATTTTACCGACAAAGGGAAGTGATATTGTGGCAATATTTTTATGCCATAGGAAATCGGTCGCCGGAGCTAACAACTTGCCAATTTGCCAAATGCCAATCTGCTGCGCTCGGTAGTTGCATAGGTATTATCCTCTCCCAAGGTACAGCGGCCGGGCCGGTCTATGCCGTTCAAGTCGAAAATTGCATTGTAATCCAAGGACAGCTTGCTGCACCTCCGGCCTCGATTTTAACAACGTGGGTATGTCAGGACCTTGGCCGGACGTTTGACCCAACGATGAAGCCTGGGCAGGCAACCACAACATTCTCTACTTGAACCCGGGCCGGCTCAGTGTCCCAGCAACACATCGTCCACCCCCAGACCACAACAGCCCCCACTCCAAACAGCGTCCATGCAATGCCGCTCGGCCCGTCCGCCAGAGCGGCGCCGCCGTCCGAAGTCAGCCTCGCAGCGGCGTCACGTACGTGGAGCGGCCAGCCGGCTGGCCGCGAGAGCAGCGCGCGCAGCCGGCCATCCAGGTCCGTCACCACCTCGGCGCGCAGACTCTCGTACGGGTTGAGGCGGCGGCTCTGTGCGGCGCCCACCCGCTGCAGGCTCTGCGGCGGAGGGGGGGGGGGGGACAGGTCAGCGGTGCAGCTCGCGGAAGGGGGCGACGGCCGCGCGGCACAGGCCTGGGATTCAACAGGGCATTGCATGTCGTCTCGGTACGTGGCATGTTGATTGCGACCCAGATGACATGCTATGGTTATGATCGACTACAGCGATTGCTCAGCTTCACTTCGTTTCACGTTTCACGTATGGGCAGAACGCCACACTAAAAAAACGGCCCGCTTGGAGAGGACGGGGAAAAGCGCAACATGTCGTGCCGAGTAAGGACATGCCGCGACTCTAACGCAACCTCCCCTCCCCCTCCCCCTCACACACACACACCAGTGCTCAGTACCGCGTGCCTCAGCAGCCCACGGATCCCGTCCAGCGACGCCACCCCTTCGGCGCAGCGCCCGTACCTCTCTGAGCGATTGTCGACTGGTGGCTTGTTTGAGCTGTCGCTCCAGCATGCGGCGCTGCTGCGCGTCATCGTCGCCGTCGCCGTCGCCTCCGGTGTCGGGCGGCGGCGCGTCCGGTGCCCGCAGTCGCTCCAGGTGCCGCTCCAGAGCCCGGCCCAGATCCGAGTCGGTCAGCTCGGCTGACGGAGGCGGCACCGGTTACACGATGCAGTCCGTGTCAGCCCCCCAGACCACCCCTCCGCTGCTGGCATGAGGACACGTCACACGACACCAATTCCTCCGCGCATGTTCTACAAACGGTGAATCCGGGTCTGATTACGGAGCATTGCCGTGAAAATGTCCCCTTGCGGATCTATTTCGACAATCATTTCGCAAGCTACCCCCCAGCGACGGCCGACGCAAGCCATCGTAAAACTTTGGCCAGAAGTCGCTGCGGCGTTCAGCGCGACTACCGGCCACCGCAAGAGCCGGCTGTCGCACCGCTTCTGTTCGGCGGCGAAAGTACGTCTCTTGCAGACTTTTTAGGGAGACGATCCCCGTGCCTGCCGATGAGTTGCATCATTTGGTCACGAGCCCACCGCCAAAAAGCTATTTGAAGCAAATCGCTGATTCCACCGCCGGTCATTGTGAGACTGCAGGGTCGATGTCTCATGCTGTTGCGCCACGCGCAGCTGCCTTCACTTGTTGAGCAAACCATTCACCGGTCCACACATCCCGTGAAATACCAGGTCACACGGCGACTCCCGTCCACCTGATGCCGGGCACCGCGGCTTCGAGCTGACCGCAGAATCCGGTCCGACGCGACCACATTCTTAGAATTGTCCAATGCAGAAGCGCTCGGGATGGCTGATCGACACGCTAATGCCTGGATCATGGCCCGCCGACGGCCGGAGCGTTCAGTCCAACGAAAAATCGTCCGCGTACGACAGCTCATCTCCGAGGACATCGGCCGGCTGATGTAAGCTGTGTCGGCATTCATGCCCTTATAGGCGAGAAACTAAATCGGAAAAGTTTGGGGCAAAAACACGAGAAAAGACATTCACGGGTTTGGGAAGCCCAGATACAAACCGGTCAGTGCACTGGTCCACTGGGCACATCACGTTCCACTTAAAGAGCTTAGGTGGCTTAGCTCACGGCACACCCACTTCCAGAGACCCCGCTTTCAAATGTGGCGTAATTGTCAGCTGTAAAATGCTGCGACGGTCCCGACAGAGGTCACACCACCCAACGCAACCAGGTCACGTGTCAACAGCATTTGACGTTGCTGCTAACCAAACCACTGTTTTTGTGAACGACTGCTGACCAAAATATTGTTTCCTTGATTAATCCACGACTTAGCCCACGATAAGTCGGAAGGCTTATCGACGGGCGTAGCGGGATGTGACCATTGCCGTCGCCACCCCGCGGCGAGGGCCGGGGCGGATACGGGAGGCCGTCGCCAGTGGCCAGCAGCCAGGCGCACGCGGCGGCGGCGGCGGCGGCGGCGGCGGCGGCTCGGGCCGCGCCCTCGCCCACCTCCGACGGCCAGGAGCGCCGCCTCGAGGCTGGCGGTCAGCTCCGCCCGTGACAGCAGGCCCAGCAGCTTCACAGAGAGGGCGTACTCGTCGCTCTCGGCCAGCGGCTGCAGCAGCGCCAGGTTGTACAGCTCGCGGAACTGGAGCAGAGGCGCAGCGGCGGTCAGCGGCCCGCAGCGGCACGCACGCACCGCGTGTCACACGTCAGTCGTGTGGCCGTCACTGTTACACCGCTGACCAGGCGCACGTTGGCGTTATAAGACCTTGCGTGTCGGCGAGTGCAACGCAACACAAGAGCGCAACTGAGCACACATACTTCCATCCAGGTGGGGCAATTCGAGGTCTAGTGCTGTGCAATGCAGAGGCCGTGGAGCTGGACGTCACACTTCGGCAAACGCTGCGTTCATACGAATGCTACTGCGACTTGTGCTGTTGCACCGGCACCGTCGGCAAGACAATAATATTGTTGTCGACGATCAATGGCGGGACATCTTACCACGCGCTCGGGTGGCGGGGGGTCACACTGACCAGAAAGATTTCTTAACGGTGCAGGGTAGCCGCACAAAACATTGCATGACTACAGAAAATGAAAAAGCAGATCTTTCGACGCAAAAATTTGATGGTACCTTGTCAGGTCATTGACCTATGGCAGGTCAAAGTCAGGCCATGGTTGTCGGCGAAGGGCATTTCTTGGAAATCGTTCAATGTCATGCAACAACAGGGCGTTAGACGAAGTCATATGTATCTGAGATAGTTTCTTAGGAAAAAAACAATGGCATTAAGAATTACAACCAATTGCATTGACCTAGGGTCAGGTATGACCGTCAGACCTAGGTCAAAACCAACCTGATTGTTTACTCGAAAGCTTTGTTACGGGGTAGTTTCTGGTGTCCATTTCGAATTTCTTAATGCCAGGGAAAGCAAAAGATATGGCCCATGGACTTTTTAAGGTCAAGTCACTGACCTAAAATGACAAAGGTCAGCATCTTGTTCTTAAAATCAAACCGTCTGGCGTAATTCCTACCGTTTTTTCGAATGACAAAATAGGAGCAATCTTGTAGGTATTTAGTCATCATTACCTTATGAAAGCCAAACAAGGTCACTGAACTTAATGAGACACCAATGACCTTTTGCTTAGAACACGTATATAGGCTCACGGCAATTGCATAAGAAGACTCAAAAGGCACTTGAGACACCAATCTGGAATCTGACCTTGTTTAGCCTAACTTGACGCCCATCTCCTGACCTGGCAGCCTCAAATTTTGACATGAGGAGTTAACGCATAGGCCAACCTACCCCGTGGATTTGGTGTCTCTAGCTATCTTAGTTTTTGAGATCTCAAAGGGGTCAAATTGACCCCCACCCGAGCAAAGGGTCATTCGACCAGCCATCCGGGCGTGTGTTAATGTTCCTGTTCTCCGGTTCAAAACATACGACAGCGATATAGTCCCAAGGCGAGGAGTAGGCACGTCATCACGAGACCGTCTACTCAGCAATGTGGGTGCGCAACACCACGGCTGGACGGCGTGGTTTCCGAGCGCCGCAGGGGAGTGAAGGACGGCTCCTGCCGGCCGCCAACCCATCCCCGCCCCCCAGTCACGGACCTGTCTTCCGGGCGTCGCCGGGGAGCGAGGAACGGCTCCGGCCGGCCGCCGACCCACCACGCCCCCAGTCACGGACCTGCCTGCCGAGGGGCGCGCCTGGCAGCCGACCGACCAGGGCGAACAGGCAGCGCAGCGCCAGCAGCAGCGCGTCGTGCCCCGTGTGCAGCTCTAGCACCGCTTGCTCCAGCCACTCCTGCACGGAGCAGTGTCACCAGGAGCTGTTCATCAGCGGACAAAGGCGCGCCGGCCCACGCCAGCCGTCACCCTCGCAGAGGGGTGGCGGGCGGGCGGCGCGGACCACCCACGCTACGCTGAGACGGCGGGGTAAGGGCGCGATGCTGTCTGCAAGGGTAGAGGCTTCTTATCCCCGCTGTGTTTTATACGGCCCATCGCAATGTTGATTCGTAGAGTTCGCGATCATCTACATTCAAATGACAAAATACATTTGCCACTACCCACTGTTGCACTTCTCAAATGCATTCATCTTTTCGTGCCCGCACAAAACATCACTGCCGATGTAACACTGCGGGCAAAACGCCGGTCGCGTACAAGCATCGTTTGCCCAATCATCCCTGCCATCCGTAGCCGACGGCAACAGAAGGCCGGCCACTCCGGCGGCGGCAGCGGCGGCGGCGCCACTGACCCGGAAGGGTGCGTCCTGCTGCAGGCGACGGCGCCGCTCCGGCTCGGCGTCGGCCAGCGTGCCGCTGACGGACGGCACGGTCCGTAGCGCCGCCAGCTCCGGCACGCTCAGGGCGGCCACGGTGGCGGCCACCGCCTCCCGGCCGCAGCACAGCACGCTCGCCGGCGACGTGAGAAAGTGCTGCAGCATGCAGTACTGCGGGCAGCGGCGCACGGGCGGTGGGGACCGGAAGTCGGGCGCGGTGTACGCTGCTGCTGGGGCCACCCGGCCGGTGCAACAGGTAGTCATTGCAGGAGAGGGGGGGAGGGGGGCTGATCAGGGGACAGACTATGGACAAGAAAAAGCGCTGTTCGTTAGGACATCAGGTAATTTACAGGTCCGCCCCCCCCCCCCCCCCCCACCCCCGACTTGGAGACGGACGCGCGGTGCTGATGAAGAATGCGTCGGAAAGACCACCCTCAAGCGCCGCAACCAACCGCGCTCACACACAGGTGCCAAAGGTTAGAACCCCACCCAATAAACGCCATGACGGCCGTCAGTCTAAACAGCATGAAATCCTAAGTCAACAACCCCACAAAGCCTTGCTGGGCCCACGTCGTTCAGCTTTGACGACACGGCACGTCAGGTGGCTGGTCCGGCCCCACTCACCTTGTAAGCCGAGATGAAGTTGTTGACGGAGAAGTCGCTGTACAGGAAGATGTCGAGGAGGAGGCGCAGGGCCCGGCCCCCGAGCCGGAAAGGCACGGCGGGGGACAGCACCACCTGGGCACGCGCCCGCCGAGGCCGTGTTATGGGACGCAGCGGACGGCAATCACGTGTCTATGATCCGAGTTAGACATTAGCAAGTCCTGTGCTTGTCTGCAATCCGTGTTAGATTCAGTGCGTTGTCTATGGACTACTCCACGTGCCGTCTTGCAGTGCAATCTTGCACGCCGTCTGTAGTCTGCACGAGATCACGAACCTTGTCTTTGTACTGTGCACCGCATACCAGACTCCGCATCTGTGATCTGCGCCAGGTGCCGAACCGCAACTCATCTACGAGTTATAACCTGTGTCCGACACCATTAGACTCCACACCTTTCCTATGAATCACGCCCGACACAAGCACATTACACACCTTTCCTATGACCCACGCCCAACACAAGCGGATTACACACCTTTCCTATGACCCACGCCCTATTCCATCAGACTCTGCACCTTTCATATGACTCACGCCCGACACCATCAGACTCCACACCTTGCCTATGACCCACGCCCGACACAAGCAGATTACACACCTTTCCTATGACCCACGCCCGATTCCATCAAACTCTGCACCTTTCCTATGACTCACGCCCGACACCATCAGACTCCGTACCTTGCCTATGACCCACATCGGACACCACTACACTCCGCACCTTGTCTATGATCTGCGCCAGGTAGTGGGTGGCCAACTGGGAGTGGAACTTCTCGAGGCTGAGCCGGGCTGACACGTGCTGCGGCAGCAGCCGGTGCACCACCGAGGCACAGGTCGACACGCCGAACACGAACGCAATGGGCAGCCGCCGCCGGTACTGGCTGCAACACCCGGCGAGCGACGCACATCACCGGCCGGTGGCGACCGGGCGGCCGCCGGCGGCGAGCCGGCCCGCGCCGCCGAGGAGCGTCAGACACGGGCGCGATATCCCGGCGGAGCGCCGCGGACCGGACAGGCGACGCAGGGGACGGCGGCGCAGGCCCCGGTCCCGTCTCGAGACACTGGTCGGCGTCAGACGGCGGTACGGTGTCGCACGCCGCCGACGCTCGGTGGCCGACAGTCGGGCGTCGAAGCCGACTAGCGGTCGGCAGTCGACAGGCACGCGTCTGACAGCCGGCGGCCGAAGGTCGGCACTCAAATGGCACACCAATGATCAGCAGAAGGCAGTCAGGCACCAGACCCTGGCGGCCGTTAGTCAGCCATCACATCAGTATCGGTCGTCAGTCAGTGGTAAAACACCCGGCCACTGGTAGTCGGCAGTCAAATGAGCCGGGCGCCACGCGGCCGACGGCCGGCTGTCGCCGGCCATCCGCCGCGGGCCAGGCTCGGCTCGTGCTTAACAGGCACCAGCGGAAGACTGACCTGCAGATGAGCACGACGTCCTGGAGCACGCGCGGCTGGAATGCCTCCAGGTCTCGCCACACCACCACCAGCGGCCGGCACGCCGGCGACGTGCGAGCTCGCTTCCGTGGCGAGCCTGGGGACGGACGCGGTACTGCACACTGTCACACTGCGCTGCCACCTGACAGACACGGTCAGACTGGATTGCCACCAGACAAACACAGTCAGACTGGACTGCCACCTGACAGACACAGTCAGACTGGATTGCCACCAGACAGACATGGTCAGACTGGACTACCACCTGACAGACATGGTCAGACTGGATTGCCACTCGACGGATGCAGTCAGACTGGACTGCCACCAGACAGACGCGGTCAGACTAGGTTGCCAACTGACAGACATGGTCAGACTGCGTCGTCACCCGACAGACACGGCCAGACTGTGCTGCCACCTGACAGACACAATCAGACTGGGTCATCACCTGACATACATGGTCAGACTGGATTGCCACCCGGCAGACACCGTCAGACTGCGCTGTCACCTAACAGACACGGTTAGACCGTGCCGTCACCCGACACGCGGTCAGATTGGGTTGTCACCAGACAGACAGAGCTAGCCTGAGCTGTCATCCGACAGACACCGCCTAATTGAGCCGACAACTGACAGACTGTCCGGCTGGACCGCCACCCAGTGAGCACATTCAGAGCGCGTCGTTAGCTCGCGGACGCCGACGGAGAGGCCAACATATGACCGCAAGTCATCACATTACGTCAAACGCCCAGATCAGCCAGCAAACGAGGCAAGACAACGCAGATGTGCGGGACAACTAAACTTAATCGTAGCGAGCTATCCTATTCGCGATACCAAACATCATTGTGGGACGAGCGGCGTACGCGGACGTGAGCTGGGAGCGAACCTGCGACCCTGACCTGTCTTTGCCGGGGACCGCGTGGTGGCTTCGGCCTGCAGCGCCTGGTAGTGGGCCTCAAGACCGGGCATGGTGGCGGGCGGCCGTCCCTGGTGTAGCCGCTCCGACTCCCACGCCAGCGGCTCGCCCTCCTCGTCGTCCTCCAGGCCGGCCGAGTCGGGGCCGGCCTGGACCCCCTGCCGGTCAGGTGACAAGCCGCCAGGTCACGTGATGCCGGTCACCAGGCGGCCACGCAGCCACGCCTCATGCGGCGATCTGTCGATGCCGTGACGTCAGCCAATCAGCAGCCACGGCGCACAGTCACCGAACAGCCATCACTCGACATGCACCAGGACTTACAGTCTAACAGCTGCCGACCGGTCAGCCACCGATCGGTGCGGGGCATCATACAGAACATTTCGGCGCGGTCATCACACAGAGCACTGCCATTTGGGAGCACTCCGCCACGATCTCCTGACTTTACAGCAGGCCTATCGCCGGCCACACCACACGACTGCGCGCCGGCCTCTACCGGCCGTGCTCCGCGCTCCCGGACCGCCCTGGCTCCCCCGGACGCAGCGGGCACCGACCTGGTCCGGGTCGGTCAGCTGACGCACCATGGCGCGCACGGTCGCCGACACGGTGGGGCAGGAGGCCGGCTCGAGCAGCGCCACGTGGCGGCCCACCTGCGCTCGCAGCCGCGCCGCCAGCGAGGCAAACACACGGCCGTGGTCGGGCATGTTCACGCCTGCAAGGACATGTGACCGTCAGAGCCTGCCGCCCCCGCTGAGATTCCCTTGGTGTTACCTGCTACGTGATACAAATTTGAGGGCTGCTTTGTTATTTTGTATAACAGCTGCACCAGGCTATATGTGAAACTTTAAATATGCGGTGGGAAATATCGCAGCTTTGCATAGCGAAACTATTACCATTTATTTTGTATCATCCGATTGACACGTTTCTAATCTCCATTCTGTAATACCAACGAGTGAGCACTGCCGGGGGAGGAGGTCCTGGCGGCTGACCTGTAACGAGGGCAGCGGTGGGGATACAGGCCTCTTCCTCGGCGTCCACCGACCTCTGCAGAAACGCGATCATGTCCTGGAACACGGTGCTGAACATCTTGTCCTGAAAATCCTGCGCAAAACATAGATGGTGTGGTCAGATTATGGATGGGTGGGCCTGGCTCTTTACTGATAGTAGGTGAAACTTTGCTCCATTCTATCAAATAAACCCAGTGCAGGCAATGCACAAAGCTGACAGATAACTACAGAATGTCTGATATCATTCAGTGACGTCATATTTCACTCCGGACCAGTTTGTGGACTCATTGAAATACACCACTTATCACTCCTTGCAATCCAGTCCAAGCATATACTGCATGGGCCGATTAGAGCGCAGGTCGGGATCAGAAGACTTTGAGCAGTGCAGCAGCCTACAGCCAGACCAAAACACACACAGTAATCCTTCTTTACACCAACAGACTCGGCAGCTGGTCCCCAGACCACGGCCTTCAACGAAAGCCCGCGTCCCTCCCCGCAAGACGCCCGCCCCGGCCACCAGCGCTCACCACTCCCCTGCCAGCAGCAGCAGGAGCGGTAGGCGGCGGCGGCGGCGGCGGAGCGGCCGTCAGAAGTCGGCCTGGACAAGCTCACCGAGCACAGCTGCTGTGCTACGCCCCACACTCGGCCGAAGGCGGCGCTGCGCCGGCCGGCAGACAGCGCTGCCGTCTCGTCGGCGCATGCGGCGAACTGCTGGCTGCCGTCAAACTCTTCAGCCTGCACTCTCTTCAGCTTGGGTTTGAACACAAAACATGACTGAAAAGGTGCACACTGGTGGGTTTGGGCTGTACAGCTAACTGGATCGGACAATAGGATATAAGGCAGCTCCGTAAATGCTCACAGAATAGAGCCATCTTTATGGCAGTGGTGTTTGAAACAAACAGTGGCTAATGATGGTGCCAGTATCATACCATGATTCATATGATGACTTCATGTTTCTAGCAAGATGCTAGAAAGAAATGAATGGGGCAAGGAAAAGCCTGATATGTAAGTGCATGGTAATAAGATCAGTGAACTTATCATCACATTCAGCTGATCTTATGGTTTTCATAATGGAACACATTTCTTTATGACATGTTCCACACCAGCAAGTATACCCATTACTGCATGGCATGTTGCATGCCAGTTTCTTGAATAACTTGCTTGTGATCCTTGGTGCATATGCTCGAGGACTTACTGAAGTTCAAGTGAAAGGTTCTATCTTTGATACATTTACATTTTCAAAAAGCTTTGTATATTTAGGCCTACCTTTGTCAGTGATGATGTTGCAGACATATTTCCTTTTTCAAAGCTCAGTTACTATTCAACTTTAGATAGATGTCCAAATTTGGTCTGCCACTGCAAAACAAGATGGTTTTGTTAATCTGTGTAGTTTCTCATGCCCAATTTCAAAAAGGCATGTTGTAACACCACATAGTTACCTCAGGGACAGGCTATAAACTCACAATATTTGCAATCAAAGGATGTTCATCAAAATCAGATAATTATTGGCAGCATAGCACATCACAATGCATGTGCTTGATCCTGACCACCATATCTTGCAGATTAGCACAAATTTTAGTGTGTTCTAATTCTGACACAGTATATACTACACAGTGAATTTCTTATAGCCTTTAGGAAGGAGCTTTGCTATACAAGATGACTGATTTACAGCACACAACCAAAAATCACACAAAACAAAAGGAATATATCAACTCAATTACAAAATAGCACTACAATCTCACAACACAGTTTGCCAATACTTGAGCATCAAGGTCAGACAGTTACAAAAGACTGAGGTGATTACAGGTTGGCCATTACTAGCAAAGGATTATGCATGCATTATAACTTCATTTGCACACTTATAGGTAATAAATTCCTATAGTGGGACCACATGAGTGTCAATACACTTGTAAAAAAGCCAGCATCACATGTTGTGCAGAACCAGACAGGCATAGTAGTTCACGGCTAATAGCACTTAAGTTTCACCAGCACGTAATGATTTTAATAATGACAAATAAGCTGTTCTATCTGTTTTATAAAAGGCTCTAAATGACAATTAATTTACAACACTACAGTAATATGACTGCTTTTTTAATACCAACATTCAACGAAACCAGAATATTTGACACTAAAGTGGGGATCTCAAGCTCAGACACCGAAGTGTGGATCGCCAAACGAGTGCTTCCACAAGGGTATGGTTCCTTTACCGGAAATGAGAAAACTAGATTCAGACGTATGCAATGGACGCACACAATTCACACCTCAAATATCGACACAGTGCACCAATGCGCACACGCCGGCCTAACGCACCCACTCGTATCACGCCGCATGGCAGGCCCCGCATCGAACAGGCGCCATATCCTGCCAGGAAAGCCGCGCTTGCGCCACAACCGTTAGATTGCCACATATCTTTGAGGGATGATTGTATATGACGTAATTTATATTTATTTGGGGAAGATGCAGTTTTATTAACCAACATACGCACAATGTACGAACTGAAAAAGGGCATAAAATGCAGAAAATGGCTTCAAATGAGGCAAAATGTCACTGCTATTGGCAGGCATAAACCACAACCATCTCTGTCAAGTCTCACCATTGACGCACATGTCCGTCAATCTAGCAGCAGATTCTGGTGGCGCTGCTGACGCGTTGGGCTCCCGAAACACGAGCCGTGCCGGTTCGCCGGCAGCCCTGGAGCTACGGTTCACCAGATGCACTGGTGGAGGTCATCAGCCGAGCAGGTCATTGCGTTTGACAGTGGGGCATAGCGCGTGATAATGGCACCGGCGGTGTGGAAGGGATCGCCGGAGCACGTGGGGAGAACTTCGATCATTCCGCCGCCGACTGGGACATCGCGGCCTCGCGTGCTTGATAAATTTCGGCGCCTGTTGAGCTTACCGTTAAGGCTGCTACAGTCATCAGCGGCCTTTAGTTCCGGCGCACTATGCCACCGAAACAAGCAGCTGCATTCTGATGGCCGACATTGTATCGCCCTTGCTCTTGTTTGCCTTTTTTGTGTGCGTATGGGAGGCCCACACCGCACACACGCAGCGGAGAAACCATGCTGTAGGCGGCTGGATACGGCTATCATTCCAATTCAGATGAAAAACCCCTAAATGTCATATTCCTTCAGTACCATCACCACATGGGCAGCCACACCCAACCAGCGCAACTAACGGGGCAAAAGTGAGAGCAGATTGTAGCAGGACGGCTGTTGTCACGTTCGACCAGTCAGAGCCTCTGTCACGGGCAGGGTTTAGCACGACAGTTACGCCAGTGCGCCAGTGCGTTAGTCGGACCTGCAGGTTACAGCCTTCCCAGTCTGCAGGCCTGCAGGCTAGGAAGGCTGTTAATCGACGCCTCAAAATAGCTTTGACCATAACAAGGTGCTGAGAACTTGCGTCGCCATCTGGCTGACAACGGGACCACTGAGTCTGCCTCAATTCCTTCCATGCGTGAACCAAGAGGGCTCAAGAGTTGTAAGAGTGATGCTGATCCCAAAAGCGCACACATTGTGAATGGAAAGCGAGCACCTGATCCGGTCAAATGACAGTTCGACTAGCTTCAACAGCCAAGGCGACCTGATTTAAGACATAAGTTCTTCGAAAAGGTATGGTATTTCGAGAAATGTCGTCATTATCGTCATAGGGGCTTCACGACGCCTGCAGCTACTGAGGCTATATGGCGTTGACCGCCTCTCACTTTGGAAGAAAGGACGGGCTCCGCCGGGAATGGAGCTCCGCACCCTCAATAATCCACGTGTGTTTTATTTCGGTCGGAAATGTGTAATAGACCTGCGACATGCGAGCCGTCGCCGGCTGCACCCGCACTCGATGATCGGTGGATGTGATCAGTTGTGGAAGGCGCAAAGCAGCGCCATCGGCTGTAATATTGTAATCGTTGCAATATGCACAGAGCAGAGCCATGTAAAATGCGTGAAGCAACTTGTTGGTTTTGTCCCCTCCCAAGCGTTTAGCGCTGGGCCAGTGATGATATAGATGGCGCTACTGTTCCTTGGAAATGAGCGTCGCTGCTCCCTTTTGCAAGATGTGGACTGACCGGGTGATGACACCAATATTTTCCATCAATCAGTTCGGTATTTTGCTGCGTTCTTTTGTTCCTTACTTTTATGTTACTATCTGATGTTGTTGGCCCTCGTTGATCCTTTCCTGGAGAGATATTGAATTGGTGCATTTCTGGGGAGTTCGAATAAGGCAAAAGATTGTGCTCATCATATCATCGAACAAAAGTATGTGCTCATCCAGCAAATTTCGTTCCTAACATGCATTCACCCCACAAGCCTGCTGATCAGTTGCTGCCAACAGTGCCTTAAGATGCACTCACCTGCTGTACCTCTATGGCGCACCTCCCGCTAACCTTGGTAGGAAGAGTGGGCACTGCCAGCAAACGAACCCCTTACCTCTGGTGCTTGATAGTGCCAACTTATAAGCTGAGATGCATCTTTTCTAGTTATGGCTCCCGTGTCATGAAATATGGGGATTGTGTTTAACTACGTAGTACTGACTTCAAGGTAGACCTAAACGAAAGTCGATGCTACGTTTTTTTGGTGGGATTTCAAGCCATCTCCATTTTTGTGGAAACGCACTCTATCTTCTCATGAACAAATGAGTGCACCGGAATTATTCGAAAGGTGAAATATGCCGTCTGGTCGCATCTCCCGTTACAGTTGGCCAGAACAGCTGTGTCAGACACCAGTTAGATCTCACGTCACAGCCAGGCTGTGGGGTTTCTCTAAATTATCTTTAGGGACGCTGTTTTGCAAATGCATCGCAATCCTCTTTTTTGTAAATACGGCAATGCTAAATAATGCTTCCCATTACCGCTGGTCCAAATAGCCGTCATTGGCGCACGAGTGACACAGTACATGAAGAAGCCTGAAGGCTCTTGGGCATACCGCCCCAACGGGTGGGTTTACGGGTATCTGCCACGGGTACTACGACCGTGGGTTTTTCTCGTGTGAACAAGGGCAGAACAACCCTCACGTGGATACGCCTACAATAAAACAACTGCAACTGTAACTGTAAGTGTAACTGTAAACTGCAACTGTCCAGATGTCATGACTGTCAGTCTTGGCATTCTGGCGTTCATTTCATGTGACATTCGATGGATGTTATACCTGAAATGTCGTTTTTATGTACTGCGTTGTACCTGTAACCGTCTGTAGTCTCAGTCTTTGGTTTTTCACTAGACACCAGCTTGAATACAAACACGGATGTAACGAAAGTGGTGCTGTATTTGAAAACTTCATGAGCGGGATGTCGAAGGAGAGGGACAGTCAATATCTACATAGAACAGTTCAACAGGCACTCTGATCCAAGCAAAACATCTAGAAGAAGTGCCTCGCAATAGCGTAGCCGGCCAGGGGCTTGATCTGAAACAAAACAGTGGTGGTAAGGGAACCAATGCATGGACTATGTTTTCTTCATTCGTAGCTAAAATGTCGGAAAATGTCGGGATGAGCTTGACGTGACCTGTGCTACGGGTTATTGTGATACCAGTAATTGCTGGACCTGTAGCTTGGTATTACGGTACCCTCAGGGCCTTCTACGAAACAATCGCATCGTCCTCGAAATGAAGGATTTATCCGAAACCGATCCCTATGAAATATTTCTAGTTGAAATCACATGTCTGATGATACCAAGCAGAGTAAGCAGAGCAAGGGGTATAGTAGCGAGTCCTGACCTCGGTGGTGGAAATTTTGTCGGCGTCGGTGACCACGCTGAGGCTAGCCTTGGTGATGACGGGGGTGTCGATCTTGACGTTGTGGACCTTGGGGGCCGAGTAGACGACCGGCGCGCTGTAGGCCACAGGGGCAGCGTAGGCCACAGGGGCACCGTAGCCCAGGTGGGTATAAGGGGTCGTCCTCAGGTAGGTCAGACCAGCCTGGCTGGTAGCCACCACGGCGAACAGCAGAACAGCGACCTGCCGGAGAACAGCACTGTCAAAACACGAGCCTTGGCGCCGTGTCGGGTTCGAGCGAGAAGGTGACGCACGTTGTGTCGCTTGGGTTCTCAGGTGAGATATTTGCTGGAGCTTGCGCTTAGACGAACATGCAACCTGACGGCATGCATTTCGAAGTTGGTGATGCTATGGTAAGCGTTACTGGGCCAGCATGTTTGTGGTTGAAAAGCTTAGACCAGGTATTTGAAGTGTCAAGCGAATTTCAGCGCAGTGAGAGTTAATGTCATCGAAGTTATTACTCACAACCCAGGGTTACGCCACTCGCCATTTCCATGGCTTCCTTAAGATACTCACGGCCTTCATGGTTGGTGGAATCAGCGATGCCTGGATACACTAGATGCCTTTCGTACCAAACAGCTCACTTATATACCCGGTACCATGATCATCCCTCCTTCATCACGTGATGTAACGGTCCTGAGCTTATTCATGGCCTCGTGGTTTATCTGCGGCGGTCGCTTTGTCTGCCCCGCCCATCATTAGTTTTGGTTCTTGGAGATGCCGAGAGTACCCTAGCTATGATAGCTGGGATGAAGTCTGAAGTGGCAGCTAGTGTTAAGCATCAGTAGGAAGTCTTTTCATCTTTTGTGTTTGTGCGTACCCAAATGCATTTTGGGCTATATAAACTGAAGGTTGGGGCGTGTCCTGCTCACATGATGTCGCTCTTTCTGCCATGCATTTGTCCATTTACACTGTGATAGTTCTTCAAAGTTTGGGCTTTAACACAATTTGAATGGGAACATAGCCGCACCTTCAGACTACGACAGTGGGGCTGACCATACATGACATTTTCGGGAGACGAAATCACTGAATCTGTAACGATCTGCACCCTTGTGGACCGCAACCAGAGCACTGAGGAAAACAAAAGCAGTATAGGTAAGCTGCATATTCCACTGCACAACACGCACGTGTACTTTTCATGGCGCTATCTATCGAGCTTTATGTCGAAGCGTGTTACATTCACAAGTTTGAAAATGACGACGTCCGCTTAACGATGCATTGAGGATGCGCTTCCGGTCAAAAAGTGTTGACATCGCTTAGTCATTCATAAACGGTATGTTCGCTTGCACCGTGCATTTGGTTTCGTGTCAAGCTGCTCTGATCTTTGAAACCTGACACCAAAATCCCCAAAACGGCAAAACGGTAGGATCCATCTGTTGCACCCCTGCACATCTGCCCGGCCGCACATACCGACACACATTGCTGACAGTGTCATTGTCCGTTCCTTTCTCCATTTTCTCCATCGAACGGTGCTGCTCTCGTGTCGATGTGACACCGGGTCCTCGAGATCTTATGCGCATCACGCTTCCTGTGCTAGTGAAATGGA